TAGTTTTGATACAGTCCAGCTGCTTGAATTGAACCACTGTATTATACTGACAAGCAGAGTTGACTTACTCCATAAGTTCTACAATTAGGTGTTTAATAACTTGGAACTGTTTGCTATACGATAGTATGTACTTGGTAGAAAGATTGGATTATTATTTTTATTGAATTACAATACAGGTGTTCCATGTTAATCTTGGTGCTAATAATTAACAAATTTGAGAAAAAATCTGGTGTATATACCAATTTATGAACCTTTAAGTTTAAATTTAATAATGTTTGCAATAATCATATTCTTTTGCTGAAATTAGTAAACTATTACTTTTTTGTTTATGTAAACCATGGTTTTGAAAGGAAGAAATACAAATAACACATATCCATGCTTTGTGTGGATAAACTGTATCTGAAAAAAAACTATTGAATATTACCTAATTATAGCCTAAAATACTAGTGGATTTTATGCTTTTGATAGAAGCATAAACATTGTGGTTACTGTACATCACTAGGCTAGCTGAATCAAATTTGTGTGTATCTGAACATCTGTACATTCCTACCATTTCCAGGATTATTTTAAAATGCCTGATAGATTCTGTTTGACATCTTCTGACTGTAATGTTATGACACTGAAATAAAAGGAAGAGTGATTTATTCATTATACAGTGAGCTTCTCATTTTAAAAAAGGATCCACATAAAAACAACAACCAAGGCTTGTATTCTCATAGTACAATGAATGTTTGTACAAAGTACATAGAACTGGATTTTTGTACAAAGAAAATAAATGGAAATAATCTCCCCTCATGAGAGAACTAAATGCTCATTCTTCACATGCAAGTTTCATCCTTTTCACCATATATACTGTTATTGGTGTTATAATAACAATGTTTTGTTTAATTGTCTACATTCCATCATTTCCTGCCAGGTTTAGAGGAACAGTCCATTACCTCTTGGGTTGGATCTGTTGAACCAGCTTAACAAGGCACATGCTTTTCCACTGTGGTAGTTTTCAAAGAAGTAGTTGTGTTAGTCTCTGGCAGTATTCAAAAGAAGACGGGGGAGTTAAAAAAGACTACTGGCAGCACATTTAGGGCTTTTTTGCATGAGGTTATTAAAAAAAATATAAAGCCACTTCTTCAGATGCAGTACTGAGTGGTATTAGGGCCTTAGGTATAAAGCATATTTATACAATTATGGGAACTGGATAATACATAATAAGACCCAGAAAAATGCCAATCACTACTACCCTAAACTTTCAAAGGGATGTGTAAGGCCATACAGGTCTTGCAGATTGGTATAGTCATTATTTAGTGTTGATCTGTGAAAATAATAAATCTGCTTCCCAGGATTCAAAACTCTTTTGAGTAGATTCCTTGTGTTATATGTGCAGTAGCAAAGACTCTTGAATTAATGTATGTAGTATGTCATGAAGCAATTCTCTTTCTCCACAGCTCTGCTAATGGATTAGAATTTTGTGAATATGCACAAGAGCCTTGTAAACACTTGTAGGCTATTTTTGTGTGTTTGAGTTAATTTCAACTATAACCTTCTAATAAGGGGTTTGGGGCCAGATTTATCCAGAAGTTTGTTATTGTTTTCCTTTAAGGCTGAAATAATGATAAGCTCAATAGGAGTTCTGAGAGATAAAGACCCTAAAGCATCAGAAGGAATAATGGAGCCCCCTGTGGTGCAGTGGGTTAAACCTCTGTGCTGGCGGGACTGAAGACCGCAGATGAGCTCCCTCTATCAGCTCCAGCTCCTCATGCGGGGACATGAGAGAAGCCTCCCATAAAGATGATAAAAAATCAAAACATCCAGGCGTCCCCTGGGCAACGTCCTTGCAGACGGCCAATTCTTTACACCAAAAGCGACTTGTAGTTTCTCAAGTCGATCCTGACACGACAAAATAATAATAATCAGAAGGAATGAAGCTTGAGAATCATTGCTTTAGGATATGGTGCCCAGTTCCAATTAGCAATCATGCGCCTCTAACTAAACTGAAATTCCCAGGCTGTTTTAAGAAGTATAATACAGGAACATTATGGCACAGAAACCACTGAGACCTCAAAACCATACAGAATGAGGCAATGGCACCCTTCTAACTGTGTGTCAAATGTCTTAGGAACAGTATAGCCCCATCCAGAACAAGAGAAATACTTGTGACTGCACTCTACATTCAATGGAGGAAAGAGATTTTTTATCCTATTAGTAATTTATCATAAATTATTGAATTCATGATTCAATCTAGTCAAAAGTATGTCTCCTGTTTTGGATGAGTGTTGTGTCTTTCAAGTATTGGACTCACATTTATTTGAAGGTTTATATTTATATTAGCTTTCCTGTGTTTTGAGGCCCTTCTTTCATGGTTACATCTGGATCTGATAGAAACATGAGAGAGCCTTCTTAGTTGTTGCTTCCAGGCTCTGGAATCCTCTTCAGAGTCGACATTGACATACTCCTTGCTAACTTTCTGCCAGCAGGCGAAGATCTTTTTCTTTCAGCAGGTCTTCAAGGAGTGAGTGCTAAGAGATTTTCTATTGGCTTTTTAATATTTTTATGTTTTTAATGGGTTTTAATCCTTTGATACATTTTAATTTTTATATCCTATGGATTTTTAGCTTATGTTTATCTGTTGCAAGTTGCCTTGAATTTCAAATTGGAAAAAGGTGGGATATAAAAACAATCCCCACCCCATGGAAGTGATTGTTGAGGGGACAGCATGCCACAAGCTTTAAAAACTTGCTTTTATATTCTGATCCCCATCTGGTTTGGAATCATCAGCCAGCCTTGATGCTGAATCCTGAAGAGGAAAGGCTTCAGGGCATAAAAAAGAAGAAAATGTGTACAAATAGTACTGTAAAGCTCTTCCTGGCTATTTAGATCATAGAATCAAAGCACTGGTTTTAGAAATGAGGGTATATCAAAGCATTCTGTGGCAAATCCCTGATTGTAAATTTTAAATGCTAGTAAAAGAACGGTTAAACCTAACAGTCATTCTGTACAATCGCTAGGCAGATAGGATTTAGCAAGATAGCTTTTTGCATTTGGAGAGAATCAAGGAGTTTTGCAGGGCAAACACAAAGCCAACTGCATCCTTAGAGGTTTAACTGTAATTTGTAGCTGTACCTGAAGCCTCTTGGTTATACTTTGTCTCAAATTCTTTCCATAGATAGGGAAACACATAGCAATGCTCCTTTGGCAATTGGCATTGAAGTGGAATGGAGAACAAATATATATATGGTAATAGGAATTTCAGAAAGAATTTTTTCCCACACTTAGTAAAGGCTAGCTAGAACTCTGGTCCCTAGGTTGTAGAATTGGGAGAGGCGCAATAAAACAAAGTAGAAGTATCCTAGAGAGACAGAATGGATATTTAACTGTTCAAGAAGTTGAACAGAGTAAGGCAGACTAACCTTTTGGTTAAGGTGAGAAAACCTACTTTTTTACAGAAGGACATGCATGTTAGCTGCATTAGTCTGCTGTGGGATAGACTAATTCAGTGCTTTTTGTCTGCAGTACCACATACATGAATGATTGTATCAACAGTTTGAATGGAGATAAATACTTTTCAGTGTGCATTCCTGAAGCGATATAATGGAGAAAAATAATTTCACCTGGACCCTAATATACTTGGAGTGTTTAATAGGAACCTTGATTTTGAGATGTAATGCTTTCATTATTATAGTGACACTTTCTTTCAGTGATCTCAATACAGCATACATATTTTTCATTACTTTATCCTCACAATAACTCTCTGAATGTGTGGGTGTCTCAAAATCCTGGCTGTTTATGGGGTTGAATTTGGCTCTTCCAAATCCCAATCCCACTCTGGATTTTTCTACATGTTGTTAGACTACAGCTCCCAACACTTCTCACATTTGGTGGCTAGGGCTGATAAAGCATACTATCATTTGGAGGTGCACAACAAGTCCCGTTTTATCTACCAGTCTGATGAGACATCTTAAGAGTATATGTGCTGTAAAACTCAGGTTAATTTAAAAATGTAAAGATCTAGTTTCGACTGAAATTTGAAATTCAGCCTTATGTTCAGTCCCTTCCAACTGCAAAAGATATAAAGGTTTGAATCAAAACTACCATATTTACAGAAGACCAAATGAAACTTCAGCTATTAGATTAAAGGTCGAAATAATATAGAGCATTTTAAAACTGTAGATATTAAAACATTTTTTGAGTTCCCCATCTAGTATATAGGTCCCTAACATAGATATAGCAGTAAACTTTTATTTTCAGAGTTAATTTGTTAAGGATTTAATGCAAACTGATGACTAAACTAGTTGTATTTCTACACAGATGACTACTACTAAATGATTGCCTACATATGGGGAAATGGGCATCCAACACTATCTTGTGCTAATTTGATCCTGCAGCCTGCTGTGTAGACCATTTGAGTCATATTTATATTATTAGCATAAAGGGAAATGATCAAATACCAAATAATTGGATTCAGCTAAGTACACGTTAATGGGTGAAAAGCAATTATCTGTTGTATTACAAAAAATTAAGGACAGCAATGAAAAAATACACCAGAAGGCATCAATTGCAGTGAGGTTTACTTCTGAAAAGTTATTCAAGATTGGAATATGAAAACTTTTTGAGAAGAGCTAATGGGCTCAGATTGGTGGCAACAGTCCAAGACTCCAGAAAGATCATGTAGCAGGTGATGGGAAGAAAAGATCTCTGGAATCTCATACATGCATGGCATATGGTCTTTGCTGAGTTGTGCTCCCTTCCCTGGATTTCAAAGACAGTACACTTCCAGTCCACAGCAGGGAAAAAATAAGAGTCATTGTTATATTTTAGCATAATTCAACTTTGTTTTCTACCAGAGATTTTTTCACTACTTACAAGTTTTCACTGATCTGAGACACATGCCAAACCTTTTCTGTAGTAATAGGAGCATAGTAATGGACATAAGAAGAGCACATGAAAGCACTACTCCTACAGCTATTTTCAATAAATTTTACATCATAAAGGAGGCATAATCTCTGTAGGGTATGTTTTTTTTTTATTTTGGAGGCTTGTTTCAGATATAAAAAGTCAAAATTCTTACATCAGTCTTAAAAGAAAGCCATGCACAGTTCAAAATCTTTACAACTTAAATTGTAGTTTCGCTTCAATTATTTTGTACTTCTCAGAAGCATATTGGAGCAATTGTTTCCAAAATTATGAGACAATAGGCCTGGCTAATTTGTAATACGCATTCAGGATGATGTTTCTATTTTAATAGACTCTACAACCTGCATAAATGTTCTTGCAGTTTGTATGGCATGTTACCAATGAACAATCCACTGTAACAAGCTCCCACTAAATCACAACCTGTCTGGTAAGCATCTCATTGACCTTGCAAAACTTGCCATAAGTAATCCAAGGCATGCATTGCCATATGGAATATGGTCCAAATCAAATTTTTATCCTCACACCCTGTGAAACCAGGTATAGGGTTCAAAGATCACTTATAGGAAACTTCGTTCTAAATTTTCATTTTGTAAGAATGCTTCTTGGATCCTCCTGTTTCACTGAAGAAACCCAAACCTCCTTTCCAGGGATATACAATTCTGTGCTTTAATGTTGGCAAAAGAGGTATTTGCTGTCACATTTGCTTGCCTCAAGATATGGGATTAGGCAATGTTAATTTTGCTGGGTTCTCATCTCAATCAATGAAATGCAACAATGGTAGCCAACAGCACAGTGGACCTTTGTCATTCCAAATGTTGTAAGACAAATTTTTAAGTCAGTCTCAGTAAGGGTCTTCACCTTAAGTTGCATAGGCTGAAGAGATCTGTACACCAATATATTTAAAACTATGTGGCACAGCAGTCTGGAGTATTTATAAGCCATCGCCTTTGATTTGGGTTAGCATTGACAACTGTACATTTTTTTACATAACACATAATGATAGAAACCAAACTAATCATGCATTATCAATATGCAATTTCTATAAGCTTGGCTGGGTTTTATGTTCCAAAAACAAAACTTGAGATGAAATTAACAGTAGGAAACATAAACCCATTTGTTCTGTTTGTCATTATGAAAACCAAGAGATATTTCTCCTGTTACCATCATGTAGTCAGTGAATTACAACTGAATAATGTATAGGAGTGTGGGTTGAAGTGCCACCTCAAAATTAAAGAAAAAATGCATACATACCAAGAACCAGTCATTTCCACATCTGATCAGTTTAACATTTCACATTGATGGGTCTGCCATCGCTCTGCATTATTAACATTCTTTTGACTTCATCTATATACCATAATATGGAAAAGGCTTTTCAGACACAAAACTGATGATCACCTACTGCTGCAATTAGCTGTCTCGAGGCCAATAACACTTGTCAGATTTAACCTGTGGCAGAGGTTCAAGTCTTTTCTGTCAATTGTACTCGATCACTCTTGAAGGAATGACTGAAATGTTTCACTGGTGTTCCTTGTTCAAATACATTAATATGGCACAGGATTATTTCCACATTAGAGAGACAATATATGGCACCAATATTTTCTGTAATTTGTAACAGCAGATTTGTTGATTTACAGCAGCACTTTTACACAATGTGTTGAATGTAGTGTGTAGGACTGCCACCTTTTCCAGCTAGTGCTCTTATGCCTTAGACAGCTATGTTATAAGCAGAAACTCTATAGGTGAAGATATAGTGACTTGAAAATATCCACTATTCAGATTTCTGTCTGTATGTACCTACTAGAACACTAATGTCTTAGGTGGCAACAAAGTTGTGTAAGCAATAGTATTTACATTACATTACATTTACTTTCCACTTTACACTATACACTAGCTTGATTATTTACAGTGGGTTTATGTTACATACACAGAATGAGAAAAAACAATTTTCACAACAGAGGTAGGTTTTTTTTTTACCTCAACCACAGATCTGAATTTAGGGAAAGGTTAATGTTTTTAGAAGTTTCTGAATTCAAACTTGTATAGTGCAGAGAATTTACACATCTATGCTTTAGTTGCAGATGTTAAAAAGGACTGGAGCACATTCAAATTGGTACCCTACCCTTTTCTGGAATCTCAGGAAATATATTGTCCCAATAATGATCAAATTCATATGACTGGATGCTTTCCAGTAGCAAATCAAAACCTGCTAGAATAGCTAAGAAAGCTAATGCTTTCACAAAAGAGAAGACAAGCAGGTTATGGGGCTGGCATGTTTCTATGCATACTTTTTATTGTGGCTACTTGACTAACTTTTAAGAAGGAGCAGGATTGGCAAAGGTAGACAAACTGGCACTGCTCTGGTTAGGAATTTTGTGTCAGAAGGAGGAAACTTGATATAGAAGGCACTTTTGTTGGTTTTCATTGCCTTTTAACTCCTTCACCTAGTTTTGCACTGAAATAGGCAAGAGTGTCTATACTACAGCGAAGTTCCCCCAAACTAACTTTATTTTTGGAAATTTAAAGGAAAAAAAAGTTAAGCCAAAATGCCAATTTACAAATTCACTGTTTAATTAGGTACTTAAATTATTTATGCTTTAAAAAACCCCATAAAGAGGGCCATTTAAGGCATCTTTTAAAAGTCCACATATGGCTTTGGTTTGCTGAAACATTAACACATCACTAAAAAAAGAAAAAAGTGTATGTCTGAACAGAAAGTGTTCAACACATTCAAGATTTCAATGACTATAAACAGGACACTAAACATCGGCCCTTGTGACAGTGAACAAAAGTTATTTCCAAGTTTATCTTACAGTAGAGGGCAGCCCAGATGTCTGTGCTGAAGTAACATAGAGAGAGCTGTTATCAGGATGAGAAGAGACTACAGAATTTCCATTGGTTGGTGAACACCCTAATTTCAGTTTTTCCAGGTATTCTGCATGTACAGGCTTGTGACACTGAAGGACCTTGATTGCATCCTCAACTTTAAACCATTCTCTTTTTCTTCCTATAAAAAGGAAGAAAACATTTCAAAAACTGGCTTGAAACTTGACATTTGTTCATCTCAAGAATCTTTACAGCAATTCCTTAACTTAGCTAGGTAGCCAAATGGAATGGAAACACCCCAAGAAAAATCCAAGAAACCTGCTGTTAATTTAAAAGCACACTTCTGCTCATCATACAGAATAGTGAAACGCTATGGCAATCCATTTTATTCATAAAATTTCCAAATTAGTCTTATGCTAAATAAGTATTCTGAGAAGGGGTTATAAATCAAGGTTCCTAATGATCACAACTGGTTGAGTGTTCAGTGTGAAAGATTAATGTTCAGTGTGAAAGTATTATGTGAAAATGAACACATAGGTTAGTATATTCACCTGTTTCTTACTTACCTAGTGGCTTCCCTTCTCTATCTGTGTGCTACACTTGTTAATTAAAACATTTAGTATTTTAATTACTAATAATCTTCTGTTACTACCCACTTCCTTTCAATGAGTTCAGGTTGGTAATTTAGAATGTGTTCAGAAGTGGATATGCCAGAGCAGAAAACTAGAAATACTTATTTTCAAACATATTTACAAATTCTATCAGAAGCACTGATATAATTAAAATACTCTTAGTTTTACTTTGAACATTTTAAAATACACTTCTAATTCAATATTATACTGCAAATTAGACACCAGCAGTATCTAAACTGTCCTAAAAATAGCACTGTTCTGATATTACATTCTTATACTTATCATATGCAGAGAAGAAACACACTTGCCTATATTCACCGAATCCTCCCAGTCTTCCAGGATTTCAGTCACTGTAAGTACATAAACATAAGTCCTATGCTTTCGGTCTTGATTCTGCTTCAGTGTGAAAAAAGGAGAAGCACAAAATATTTTAATTCACATTTGCAATGTAAGAGATTAAAATCATTTCCATCCAACAGTTCCATTATAAGACACTGCTTAGAGGGTTAGCATTCAGGTAGTACAAAAATGTCAAAATTCAATATTAAGGCATGATGATAAATCAGACAGATCTAGGCATATGGTATGTACAGAATGCCTCCAATGTACTTGCTGAAATCTGAGGCAGGTATAAATTTTGTCCAGTGGCAGAGCCCTAGAGCTAAAAGCAGATATGCATCCATGTCCCCTACTGCTGCTCTCCCAAAAGAGCTGTTCCCCCGCTCTTGTTAGAGAGCAGCCCTTACTGTTAACTCTTCATTACCTGCCCCCTCCACCCACAAACACCCTACTCTCAGCCTGCTACTCCTTGTGCCTTGGTAGGATAGAAAGATAGCATCAGGGATTTCTCCAGTCCCATTCACACACTACTGAGAGAAAGTGGAACAATATGGAATATGGCTATCGTTTTGATTGCCTACCGGAGCAAAGCAATTGTTCACAAGGCATAATGGGAAAATCACCCCTGCTATTGTATAGGCAGTCTTCCTACCCTCCCAATATCTATACAAAGTAATAGCCAGGCTCCACATGTCCCTGCCTCTTTTTCATTCAACGGTTTGAGCAGGACTGCTTGAGGGAGAGGTGGCACATTGCTGTGCTCTTCATTTCCCCCTCCTTTCCCTTGTATGGCAGGGTTTGGGGAGCACAACAGTCAATCTGCAGAAGCCGTGGCTGGCAAGCTGCCCAGCAGCCTTGTCCTCTCATGACCAGCCTAACTTTGTCCCTGGCTTTGTCTTTCTGTCATGTTAAAAACAAGTCTCTGTTTTATCCGTCTGAGTCATGTGGTCTAATAGAACATGCTTTACCATACACAAACCAGACACTGTATTTGTACGCATACTATAATGAACCAGTTTTCTCACACCTATACATTTTCTGCATGGATATTACAACATTCTATAATATCTCAAGAAGCACAGTAAGGCATGCCCTTAATGTATTTATTTATTTATTTACTTACTTACTTATATATCGCTGTTCTCAGCCCGAAGGCGACTCACGGCGGTTCACAACAATTAAGAACAGCAAAAATTCAATGCTACAGTGTAAAAAGCAGTTAACAACTGCTGGCTGTACTATAAGATACCCATCTCTCTCATCCTGTGTTAACATATAGGATAGCATTTTCACATCTAAGATTATGTTTCTCTAAACAGCTCACCTCAAATATGCCCAGCAATCTGCCTAGTTTTCCCTTCACTCCAGCCTGCAAGGAAAGGGACAATCAGATTTCTTCCCAACAACACAAACAACTCTTATGTCCATGCAATTCAATTATTACATTATAAAACTATATTACTCAGTATACATGATAATGGTTTCATTTTTTTCTTTGTGTCTTATCCCGATCCTCCACAATTTCAAGGCAAGCTAAAAGAAATAGGGAGTATGTATACACACACATTTTAATTCAAGCTTCTTCAAGATTTTTAGAAGGCTTGTGCTATTTAAAGAACTTTTATTTAGCAGTCAAGGAACTAATCCAGAAATAGGTGGATTAGACTGGAATTTGCTATAGATTGGCAAAAGTTTCTTATGTTATCTATATGTTAACTATCTGACAATATTTAATTATTGTCAACAAATAACCCAGAAAATAGTTTAAATGGTGATTGCAAGTTCCCAACAGAATTAATCCAAATTAGTATATGCAAATTGAATTTATACAAGTGAAAATAGTTTTGCAAGTTTACAATATGAATCTTACAAAATCATTACAGTAAATCATGCAGGTTTATCACTAAAATACACTGTTAAGATATTGGAAAATAAAACCTCTGAATAACTATTCTATATCCACAAATGACCCAATATCTCCACAGAGCCATCTTTTTGAAAATCATTATGTATTGCTTTCACACTTCTCAGACACAAGCCCAGTAGCTTAGCAAACCTTTGTATTATCTTAAAGAGGCCAACAAGGTTTAAGTGATAGCTAGAAATGAATCTACCTAGACCATCTACAAAGAAAAATGAAGTGCCATCTAAATTTAAGAGCCAGCAAACTTTCACTTGCAGCATTCATCAAGAATTTGCCTTGACAAAGCATTAGACAAAATCCAGAGAAAAATCAACTAGACTTTATTTCAAATGGAAATAAACCATTACTTCTTCATAGACTTCTCTGACAGCAGCGCCACCTGGTTCCTCTTCTGGTTCCATTCCTCCACCTGGAACAATCCACTGATCTGGATAGCGGCTGCTGCTTACTAGTAGCACCTGCAAAAGAAAAGTAGGATATTTACAAAAAAAGTAAGATTTTAAATCATGGGGGAATTGTGTTAGATCACCTTTTGCAAAATCACCACTGTATGAATTTTATTTGGAAAAGCAGATACATCCCACACTTCCATTGATTCAGCAGGTCTACTCTCACTGGAATTAAGAACTGGATTTAGGTCTCTTTGTTTAAGACAACAGATCTGGACTTGAAAGGCTATCAACTTCATTATGAATTACTCCTCTTGTTTTAATGTTATATAAGTTTGCATACACATTTTTATACGTCTCCAAGTCACAGTTAATCATCTTGTTTCAAGAATGCTATCCTAGGTAGCGCATTGTCACTTTACTGCAAAACTGCTGGCCTTACTATTACAAACCCAAACAGATCCCACCAAAAAAGCTGTTTGTCCAAAGCGTCTGAGATAGATATTTAGATATATATATGGAGAGAGAGATTGACTGCAACAGAGGACATGCGCATAATTTAAAAAAATCCAATATATCTATATATACCATAGAAAAGAAGAAAGATCCCATTTGGTAGTGTGAATCAACTCCAATTTTAAAATCAATAACAGTATGAAAAGAATGTAATTCTCTATATCAGAGCAATCTTGAATAAAAAGATTAAGAACATTAAATAGGTGAAGAAATGTGTCAAATAATAATAAAGTATAACCCACTTCAGGATGGTTTACTCTTCCTTTCATTGTGATTGAAATATTTATTTTCTTGAGAAGTTTGAGTACTGAAGCAAGTTTGCGTTCCCTAACTGAAGAACATGTACATGTACATTTCAGATGCAAATCAGAAGTAATCTATTTGTAAATCTAAATGCTTCTAAAGCAGTGTACTTAAAGCTCATAAGTGTACACTTACATATATGATGCCTTAACTGCTTTTGCCTTGAATAAAATTACTTAGAACAAACAGATTGCAGTTTTGATTCAGCATATTTTTGGGCCTTTGTAATATCATTTTGCCTTTATGGAGTCAATAATTCATAGCTTGAAAATATATTTTAAAGTAAACCATAGTTGTGCCATAAAGGACACTATTTTGCTGTGCTATTGTATATCATAAGATTTGAGCATCCATAGATTTTGTTATCCAGTGGCAGGTGGACTGTGTGTCTTGGAACCAAATTCCAAAAGATATAAAGAATGAAATTACCTTTCATTCAAATACATTCTCTTTACTAATGAAAATATAGGGGCTTATGCAGAAGTATATTTTCTATTAAAACTTGAGTAAAAGAAAACAGAAGATAAGAGATCAAAATAATAAATAGGCTATTTGGATTCTGTAGCTCAATGTTGGTTATTGTTTTACTTCCAGAATACCTTAATATCTAATCATCTTACTGTGGTTTAAAAGCAAGACAGGCAATAAATATTATTGAGGCAAATATTCATTTTTTGCACTTCTGCACCAAAAAAAGGGAACCTACGAATACCAACAAAAGCAATTCAGAGATGCAGAAGTGTTGTAGCCTCCCTTCTGAAATTGTGCTTCTGAAAGGACAAAGTGAGTATTAACCACTTCCCTTACATCATAATAACTCTAATTTTTTTTTTTAAAAAAACTTTAGCTAAATATCCTAAAGTCAAGTTTGTTGAATATTCTTTAGCTACTGAACTTTTTTAGGGAGGAAATTCAGTATGTTTTGTAGAATGTGAGTGACCACCAACAATTACAAACTAGATTATTCTTCTGTATAAAAACACTGAGCTTAGTGAAATTGTTCCAATCAGCATTTACATTGTCTAAGCCTGTGATCAGTGATCCCAGTTACTAGTACAGGGAGGAAGGGGTCATTGTTTTGCCTGCCTGGAGCTTAAATGCATGGCTTTGCACCATTACATAAGACTCAGAGTCATGACATATCAAAACATGACACTGTTTTGAATGACTGATCATAGTGTTATTGGAAAAAAATACAGGCATTCATAATAGCATAAATTATTCCACACCTTAAATAAACTCAGTTTGATTTCATATCATCTAGAATAAAATTTCAAGGCGCAGGAAGGCAGACTATGGTGATTATTAGAAGCTAGATGTTTATCATGAACTTCTGTTTTTTTAAACAAACCATAGATTTGTCATATTGCTTAGATATTTTAAGTTTTTAGAACTGGATAATTTTCTCTGCCAAACACATCCCTGTCTTCCAATAGCATAGCTTTCCTCTGGATGACTGCCCTCCAGAAATGTTTGATCCAGTCATATACACAGCAATGCAATCAGTTACAACTGAGACTAAAAGATAATTACTAAATATTCTTTTATCATGTGCTCCAATAAACCACCTGTTTTATCAACCATTCATGCATCCTCATAAGCCCTGAAGTGATCCTGTTTAGAATTCACTCCAGCCTTTAATTGATATTTGTACGCTAAAAGCTAGTAGATTTGTACTTAGATATGAAAATATTCCATATCCCAGCCAAGGAAAGGACACCTGGAAAAGCCATTCACTCTGCTTGGTTTCATGCCATCAATGCAACATATGTTATAGTTACCATATATTATAGTGAGAAAATAGAAAAATGATGAAGTCCAAACATAAGAGCATAGAACTGTATTCTCTTTTTGTATCTACATCACAATTCAAGATTATAGAGAAAAACATCTAGGGTTCTACCTAAAGCAGAATAACCACGAATAAAGATTGAATCTGAACTCTAGAAAAATATTCATGCTACAGACCACCTGCTTAATGGGCTTTAGCACATTTGAGAAGAGTATATACAGTAGGTCCACTGATTACACAAGCTCATTTAACATGACCTCGTGTATATGCAAAGAACCTTGAGTATCACAGAATCACTCTGGAGAACTGAAAAAAATACCTAGAAAAGTTTCCAGTGTGATTCTATGGTATGCTTCTGCTGGAAGCCCAAGACACTGTAAGAAAACTAAGGGTCAATATTATGTGAAAATCATACTATATTGAAGGGAACTAGAACAGATCAGTCAAGTAATATGTGTGCCTTGTTGTTGGTTGTTTATTCATTCAGTCACCTCGGACTCCTCGTGACCTCATGGACCAGCCCACGCCAGAGCTCCCTGTCGGCCATCATCACCCCCAGTTCCTTCAGAGTCAAGCCAGTCACTTCAAGGATACCATCCATTCATCTTGCCCTTGGTTGGCCCCTCTTTCTTTTTCCTTCCATTTTCCCCAGCATCACTGTCTTCTCCAAGCTTTCCTGTCTTCTCATGATGTGGCCAAAGTACTTCATCTTTGCCTCTAATATCCTTCTCTCCAGTGAGCAGTCAGGCTTTATTTCCTGAAGTATGGATTGGTTGGATCTTCTCGCGGTCCAAGGCACTCTCAGAATTTTCCTCCAACACCACAGTTTAAAAGCATCTGTCTTCCTTCACTCGGCCTTCCTTATGGTCCAGCTCTCACATCCATATGTTACTAGGGTGAAATATGTGAGCCTATTGTATTGCTAATGTTATATGGGAAATGCTTGAAAGCAGAACATTTTACCAATTTCATTACAATTTGTAATTAATAAAATTCAAGTTTTGTGATCAATGTTTTATAAAATAGAGCAGCTACCATTCAACCCTGGCCCTATTTTTGTAGCTGTGAACCCCTTATCCCATTTCCACTAGAAATTTTGCTGCTACAAAATCTACCAGTACAATACTAAAAAGAGATGCTTAAAAGGCTAACTTCATGTAAACATTGATAAATTATCTATTTTAATTTTTAAAAAATCATTGGGAAGTTTTATGAAAGATTGGGAACAATTACCTTTTTGCAGGGAAGAGGTGAGAAGGGTTTATGGATTAGTTTAGATCAAGAAACAAAAGTGTCAAATTAGTATGAATATGAGAGAAGGAGGATTTAGTATCATATACCATCGGTAGGAAAGCTGGAAATCAACTTTTCATTTATATTTTTTATCTATTCTTGTTTTAAATTGATTCCTTTTAAAATTTATTTGCTGTTGGTAGAGAGTGATTTTTAATTAACTATATGTAAATTTTACTTAAGCAAATAAAACCTTTAAAAAAGTGTAGTCTATTTTTTGGCCCATAAATTTTGGTGACAGAATTGGCAATGGTGCCGTGTTATATGGCCTACACTGATTCTACAGGGTTGAAAGCTTGCAAGAAAAGTATTCCTCAGTCAAAAGAACTGACCAGTCAGGATCTCTCTACTTACTAGTAGCTGGGACTTTTTTTTTTTTTTTAAAAGAGCTATCTGAATTCTGTCAGAGTTGCCAGTTCCCTTCTTCATGACTGGGAACAGTTTTATGTTGGCTAGCCCTGTCGAGACTAATTAAAAGTTACAACCAATCTCTACCAACTGACAGTCTATTGGTAATAGTTTATATACTATGAATTTTCACATAGCAAACCAAGATACAGCACTAACAGGCACTTGTCTTTTTTAACAGAACATTTTATTTCACATTTTAAGCATCTGCAATTTCTTTGATCTCATTATGTCCATTCGGAACTATTTTGTAAGAATGTGAAGTTACATTCAAAGTAAGTATAAGAGCTGCATGAATTTATTGAACAACACTTTCTTAACATTCAATCTACTTTTGAGAAAGGGAGAAGAATGGTCCTTTTAAGGAGAAAAATGCTTTGGTTGTTCCAGGATAATATCATGAGACTCAAGCAACTATTTGCTCCTATTCCTGAAAATATGACGAATTTTTCCATCATCATCAGATCTGCTAAGTCTTTTAAACAAACACATAAAGTAAGTCAGTTCATAACAAAGGATAATCATTATCCATTATGTTTTTAGGAAGCAGTGGACCTGCCAAGTTACTCAGAAACATTATGGACAGTTAGTTAGCTGCACAATTAATAAGGTAGTTATTTTCCCAACATTGTTAAAGTATGCTATTTAACCAAGGATAGTAGTTAAGATACACAGTATCTTTACAGAATGACTAGAGCTCCCTCTACAGCCTCCATATTATGTGAGGAGCTGACAGAAACATCATAGAACTGAATAC